ATCGGTTCAGTAGTTTCGGAGCCTATTCAATTCAAACAAACAAACAAATCTTTCCTCTTTATAATAGTAAAAATAAATAAATATAGTGTAGAAGATAAACACTCACGCCTGTCACCCAGAGGGGTAGGCAGAGACTACGAACTTCCATTTGGCGCGATCCTGACACACCTCTCTGGCCTCTTTTACATCCATATAATATCTACGCATACACGCTCGTCGGTTAAGGGTACTCCTAATCTGGCCCATTTTTAATGTATCGCCGATTTGGTCGATAAACCTTCGTCTAGGGCGTCCCTTCCCGAACTTGCCGTTCACTTCTGCAACATAAATTTGCTTTGTCACTCTTTCCTCGTTTATTCTTTCTACATGACCAAACCACCGAAGCATTCCTTTCTTAATCCTTGTCATAACGTCATCTTGCAAACCACACTTTTATCACACTATTTCTCACCCTATCATTCAGATTCAGCCCTAGCATACTCCTTAAGGAACGCATTTCTACAGCATTTAATCTACTCTCATGCTTCTTCTGCCAGACCCAACTTTTACTACCATACATTAAAGTAGGGACTAACACAGCATTATGAATTGCCATACGTGCCTTAGTTGATACGTTCTGACTCCTCATAATAGCGTGTAGAGCCCCATTCACACTATTTCCTGCGTTCACTCGTCGTTCTATATCCTTATCGTATCTACCATCCCTGCTAAATAAACATCCCAAATATACAAACTCATCCACTTGATCAATCAACTCCCCTTCTATTCTTATTTCACATAAAGTTTTACTTTCTTCTCTTTCAAAAACCATCACTTTCGTCTTACTTGCATTCACTTTCATACCCCTTTCTTTCAATGATCAATTCATTAAAGTAACCATCATTTGCAACTCGGCCGCCGACGATGCAAATATGACTTGATCATCGGCGTACAAAAGGCATTTGACAGTTGACTCACCAATTCTCAACCCACATTCTTCAACTTTCAAAGTTTGCAAACAACTGTCCATAAATAGGTTAAACAGCCACGGGGAAGCCACACATCCCTGTCTGACACCTTTATGAATGCCAAACCAGTCCGAGTAGACCCCGTTGATCCTGACACAAGCACTAGAGTCCCTATAAAGAGACCTTAATGCCTGTATCAAGCCAGCGCTCAACCCAAATGAGTTTAGTGTTTGCCATAACACATTCCTGTCCACTCTGTCATAAGCCTTTTCCAAGTCCATGAACGCACAAAAAACTTTCTGGGTTTTGGCCAAAAACTTCTCCGCTATCATGCGCATGGAAAAGACTTGATCCGTACACCCCATCCCCTTTCGAAATCCAGCTTGCACATCCCAAATTTTTCCATCAGTTTCTTCCATAACTCTTTCAATTAACACCTTAGCATACAGTTTACCCACAATGCTAAGCAAGCTGATATCACGGTAGTTTTTACAGTCCTGCTGCGACCCCTTTCCCTTATATATTGGGACTATAACGGCTTTGCACCAGTCTTCCGGTACCCGCTTCAGTTCCCAACATAAATTAAACAAGATGTACAGCAGGCCTGCAACCCTTAGCGTTTGGAGTGATACTCTATCATATCCGGCTGCCTTACCTGCTTTCATGCTTTTCATTGCTTTCATTATTTCATCTACACTTATCTCCCTACCTCTCTCCACTTCTTCCGGAATTTCTGTTTCACTTATTTTAGACGACTCTTCACTCTTAAACACACTTTCAAAGTATTCCTTCCATCTCTTTAAATTCGAAACTTCATCATTCAGCATGCAGCCATTCTCGTCTCGTATAGCATTCATTCTAGGCTGTTTTGAATTTCCCCTGGCAGTTCTTACGAGCTTCCAGAACATTTTAATATTTTCCTGGAAGTTATCAGATATCCTTCTATCATTTTTATCTATCCTTTCTTGCTTTTTCCTTTCAACAACTTCTTTTACTCTCTTATTTTTACGTCTAAAGTCTGCCTTTTTTCTTTCAATCTCATCATTCATACCGCCAGAATTACCACTTTTATACATATGTAAAGTAATAAAAAATAAATAAGTAAACAAAAATGAATAATATATCGTTGTAGATAGTTGCTAACATTGAGAACGAAATCATTAAAAACTTCAAGACGTTGTCTTGTGAAATTACGTTCACACATACTAGCAAGTTGTTGGTGAGTATGTTTACCTGGGAAAAATAGTATTTAGTAATATTTTTTGATTTCTTACTTTTACAATATCTAATATGATTGATTTACAATGTTGTTCACAAAAAGGACGACGGCGGGGAGCGGAGGCTACGGAGGATCGGTGGTGGCATAGGCCGTGCGCCCGCGGCTATCCCTACTTCGATCTCAAGCACAATCGCGAACGCTCATATAAAATCATTTAATTATCTAATTGTAAATACTCCGCGAATAAACCTTATTATTCCACAGTCCATCTTTATTTACCGGGCTCTAACAACAACAACACTTAATTTGACCATTGCTAAGCTACGATGGACGGTATTCCGAAAATTGCAGCACCAAAGGGTCACGGTTTCGAATCCCGCACGGAACAAGTATTTGTATGGCCCACAAATAATTGTTCCGGGTCTGGATGTTTGTCCTTGTCAAATTTATGATGTAAACTGCCCCCACGATACAGGAGAAAATCCTAGTGTGGAGGTAACGTTTTTGTTTTACGTTTTACGTTACGTTTGTATATCATTTTTGTGTGGCGTATGACACGCGAATCGTCTTTTTAAAAATCGTTATAACTCGTTCAAATTGCGTTTTTGGAAGATTTATCCCGAACAAAATATTCATTATTTTGCAAGTAGTTCATGCCTACAGCTTCGTTTCTGGATATTTTGACAATATGAAATTTTTAGGAGTTGACAACCTTTTTTTAACTATGGTACTCTTTTTACTTTGTGGGTTTTAAATCATGTTGTGGAAAAATAGTCTAATAAGTAACAAATAATAGCACTCATTGCGATCGCTCACAAACTCAAGTTGTAAATAAATTTCTGGAAGTCTTATTGTTTAATTTTGCTTAAAATGGTTGAACTGCTGTCTTATTACTATCATATGGCCGAATAGACCTATGAAGTACCATATGCTCTTGTGATATGGTATAAGGTTTATTTCTGCTTGAAACAGTTCGAAACCGTTAATGCATAAAAAAAGTTCGCTAATAAATAGTTTTTTGTCAATCCGCCGCCGTATAGCGCCGGCGTTTTTTTCCTTTTGACAACACTTGTTTTGCTATTCTTACTAATTAGACATTTTCAGATCGACTTTACTTTTATATTTGTATAACATTAAATAATATTTAACATTTGTAAATATCAATGAATTATAAACCTTATTTTTTTCCAAATTAAGGTTCTTGATTGTTTGAAATTTACAAATGTTATTATTAGTTTAAAATTTAATTTCATAAAAACCAAGATTTTCCAGGTTGATTTAGCTGTACCTACTTATATAAATGATTTTTTATAAAACAAAAATAGTACAAAAGGTTTGTAATCTCTGCGTAAAAAAAGTCATTTATTCTCAATTTCAAAGAAAACACATAGTTACCCACTAAAACAAGTATTTTTCCGTTTGTAACTGATGTTTGATGCCTAAACTTAATTAGGTCTAAACAAGTGAAAAAAGCATAAAAAATAATTTTTTTTTACACAAGACTGATGGCACAAATTGTCATCAACTTTTGTGGCGCTGGACACGCCAGGAGTGTCATTAAATATTTGTTTTTTTTTGTAAAACTAGCTGGTACCCGGCGCATTGCTGCCGCAGAAGAAGTAATTGTGAAAATATCATTTTAAAGAAGAACGGTCACGCCCCATAGAAAAAAACCCAGAGCCGACAGAAACGAGCCATATCTTACTTTTGTGTTATTTTTTATACAGTTAAATTATATATTTTTTATATTCGAAATCAATGGCTAACATCAAAATAATGCCTTATGTTTTTGTTCAGGCGATACACAAAAAGAATACAAAATGCCTATTTATCTACAAAATTCGTAAATGTATGTAACTAAATGACGATACAATAGCTATGGGATCTATCTAGGTGACCTGGAGATGATCATTAAATTATCACGTGAGGTTAGCACGGTCGTACTGCAGTGAGCATTTGAAAACCACGGGTATGGAGATATCTATATATGTCTATACATCCAGCGGCAGTAGAGAGGTCAGAAACACTAATACTTTAATCAGGCGTAGATTCATTCACGACACGTAACGACAAAAATGTATTATACTTATATTATGATGAGAATATAAATGGTATAAACGCAATAACAGAATATTACTGCTCGTGCTACCATGGTAAAAGGACATTGGGAAGTTGTCAAAATAGTCAAAAATCAAAACGTTATTTTTGATTTTTGACTATTTTGACAACTTATGACAACAATACCCTTTGCGAGTATCATCAATCTTGGAGAAATAGATTTTTTTGAACCGGGTTTTTTATTTTATTATGTACCAGCGATCCGCCCTAGCCTCACATGGGTGATTTATGGATCACGATAACAGCTCCACCTAGCGGGTCCAATTGTGAATCTAAACCATTTAGAGATCAACTTAAACACAAAAAATTTCATCAGAATCTGTCGAACCAGTTTCGAGTTTAAGCGAGACTAACGGACAGCCACTGATATATATATAGAGATAATATCTTAATTTTTTTTGTTCTTATTTATGTGTCTAAACGCTTTGAAAATTATCTCTACATGGTATAAAACAAAGTCGCTTCCCAGCGTCTGTACGCATAGAAATGCGGTTTTCATCAATAGACAGAATGATTCAAGAATAAGGATTTTTTAATGTGTATGTGGCTGAACTCCTAAGCGGCCGAACCGATTTTGATGAAATTTTGTGTGTGATTAACCCGGTAGATGGCTTTGTTGTCGAGATCGTGCGAAGCCGGGGCGGATATATGCGGATGTATGGTAAACTAAAATAGTTACATAGTTATGTAAGCATATGTAATGATATTCTACAACAGCTGGATTTACAGTTTATTTCCAAATGTATCAATGTATCAATTATAATTTGTTGTAAAAATGCTTTAAGCTAATAGACATTTGTTGACAAATTTCGGAAGTAGATAAACCTGAACTTCCATACCTATCCTGATTTCATCAAATATTTTTGATTTCAAAGGTCATAAATTTTTACCACACATCCTCTGGGTTAGTGGTCTCAATAGACTGATGTTTTTTTTTTTCATTTAGGTTTGCGCCTTTAGTTATGTTACCTTTCAAGTATGGTTATATTGTTCTAAATATTGTTGAGCTCTTGATTCTTCAAATGTATATTGCAACGCTGGATGAGTAGATGGAAATTTCATCTCAGCCGCAACCGCTTCGAGTCGCGCGGCTCGTATCCGTAAAGATCTTTCCAGAGCACTCGACTCACGGGCCGCAGCTTCTGCTTGCATCGCATCTTCCACTCTCTTTCTTTCCATCTGTGTAACGTCCATAATTAGTTAGTTAAAATATGTATAACATATAAACGTAATTACGTAACAGCTGACCAATAAATAACTGACATTCTCGAAGAACACGTAATGCCGTATGCTGGTTTTATCGGAGAAAATTCCTCGTTTATACATGACAATGCGAGATCTCATACCGCGCGGATCGTTACGGAGTACTTATCGGCGATCGGGATTCAACAAATGGTGTGACTTGTGACTTCTTGCTGAAGCCCGGATTTGAACCTGATCGAACACCTATGATACGAGCTAAAACGGGGAGTCCGAGCCAGGGTATTCCCGCTGTTTCATCCATTCCCGAGCTTAAAATCCCAGTGCGTGAAGAGTAAGAGAACATACTACAACATGTCATCGTAACGCTCAGACTAACAGATCGATGACTAAAATACTAGAAGCATACATCAGGGCAGGAGGGGGGTATATACCAGTTATTAAGATTTAGTTGTTTGTAATAATTTTGTTTTTATTGGTTTTCTGGATTGTTTTAACTCTATTAAATTTTCTATCAAAAGCATCTCGTTTGGAGCAACAACTGAATTCATTTCCTTTACAACACTGTCAATTCTTACGACGCCCACAGCATGAAATGGTGGTGATTAATTTTTTTCCCTTACGCTGCCCCCGCACAGTAAAATAGCAATATAATATATGGAATTACTTTTTTTTATAGAAAAGGGGGCAAACAAGCATGCGGCTCACCTCGTGGTAAGTGACTACCGCCGCCCATGAACAACTGCAACACCAGGGGAATTGCAGATGCGTTGCCGGCCTTTTAGAAAGGGGTAAGCTCTTATCTTGAAGGTCCCTAAGTCGTATCGGTCCGGAAAAATCGCCGGTGGTAAACAATTCCACAGAGAAGTTGTACGAGGAAGAAAACTCCTAGTAAAACGCACAGTCGTGGACCGCCAAGCATCAAGATGGTGAGCACGGTATTGTGAGTTTTGACGCGATGTGCGTTCGTGAAATTAGGCGGCTGGAATTAATCCGAACAATTCCTCAGAGCACTCCCCGTGGTAAATTCGACAGAAAATGCAAAGGGATGCAACATCCCTACGCAGTGCCGTCAAGCCGATCAGAAAGAACTCGGTCGTCGACGATTCGAACCGCTCTGCGCTGGATGCGGTCAAGTGGAAGGAGCTGGCACTGGGGTGCCCCAGCCCAGAGATAAGAACAGTATTTCATGTGAGGCCGGATTTGCGCTTTGTAAAGTTGCAAGCGATGTGCCGGCATGAAATACTGTCTCGCTCTGCTGAGCACGCCAAGCTTTTTAGAGGCCAATTTGACCTTCCCTTCCAATTGACCACGAAACTGCACACTATTCGATATGTCAACGCCGAGAATTCCGATGCTAGCTGAGGCAGCAAGGGGAGTGCCTTGAAACTGAGGAGATACGACAAAGGGGTTCATTTTAGCGTAAACGCGCAAACTTGTGTCTTCTGGGGATTGAACTGGACTACATTTAGTCGCCCCAATCCGAGACTTAGTTCAGCAAAGACTCGACTTCAGACGCAAGTTTGTCGCGGTACTCGGCGACGTTTTCCCGAGAAATATTGCCACGGCCGGTATATAAGGCATCACCAGTGCTGTCGTCTGCATAGCAATGAATGTTACCAGTTTGCAACATATCATTGATATGCAGGAGAAACAGCGTTAGTGATAGCACGCAGCCTTGTGGAGCACCAGCGTTGATAGGCTTGAAATCAGAGCATGCACCGTCTACTACAACATTGATGCTTCTATCAGCAAGGAAACTGGTGATCCATTTGCTCAATTTCTCGGAAAGCCCATAGGAAGGAAGCTTCAAAAGAAGCGCTTTGTGCCAAACCCAATCGAAGGCCTTCGCTATGTCCAAACTAACGCCCAATGCCTCCCTCTTGGACTCTACTGCCTTCGCCCATCTATGAGTCAGATAGACCAGAAGATCACCAGCTGATCGACCCCGATGAAAACCGTACTGGCGGTCACTAATCAGCTGGTGATCCTCAAGGTACCTCATGGGCTGGCAGTTTATAATGGATTTTGGAGAACAAGGATGTGATGGCAATAGGCCTGTAGTTAGACGAGTCAGAGCGGTCGCCTTTTTAGGGTTCGGGTGGACCAAAGCTGTCTTCCACGAATTCGGGACTACGCCTTGAAAGTAGGAGTACCAGAAAAGACGCGTTAATACCGGTGCCAATTCCGGAGCACACGTCTTCAGCACAATGGGAGGGATTCCATCAGGACCACTCGACTTGCTGACGTCCAGGGAGAAGAGTGCTTTACGAACCGAGCGCTGTGTAAATCGCACGTCCGGCATAGAGCACTCACACCGCGGGATGGTCAGCGGTGTGTTCCCCCCGTCATCTAGAGTCGAGTTGGGCGCAAAGAGAGAGTTTAAAAGATCATCTTTTTCCTTTGCGGCATGGACCAGTGAGTCGTCCTCTCTGTGCTGAGATGGAAGAGATGACTGACGGAAGTTACCTTGGACAGCCTTGACAAGAGACCAGTATGCACGGGTTCCCAAAAGAAGGCGAACTAGCTTCTCGCCAATTCTGCCGATGTGCTCAGACCTTGCCTTGGCAATGACGCTTCCGAAGGACCTGGAGGCAAAATTATTAAATCTTTTTAAGAGCGCTGGTGTTCACATCCCGAGACGTTGATGCATCAGCCCAGCTGATCCTGCTTATAGCGTGATGCTATTTTACAGGAGCGACCAAACCATGGCTGGGATCTGCCTCCGATGGGCACCACAGAGGATGGAATAAAAAGTTCCATACCCTGAAGTACCACATCAGCAACAGAAACGGCAACAACGCTGGGATCTTCCGGCGAGAAGCAAAACCCAAGGGTAGGATGCAAAAAAAGACTGCATCCCGTCCCAATCGGCCAACCTATAGTGCCAAACACGGCGGCAAGCTGCAGATCGCAACTGCGATGGGAGCGTGTGTGGCACCGTACTCCGGATCAGACAATGGTCCGAAGAGCCCAGAGGGGCATCGACGGAGACCTGATATCCGTCCGGATGAGAGGTCAGCAGAAGGTCCAACTGGGAAGGTACATGATCCTCCACATCTAGGATCCGCGTAGGCGAAGTAACCAGTTGTGTTAGACCATATGCCAAGGCAAAGTCATAGACAGATCTACCCGCACGATCGGTTAAACGGGAACCGAGCCATTCGGCGTGATGGGAGTTAAAACCGCCAAGGATCACGATCTCTGCGGATGGGACCTATTGTAGAATCTGTAGACATTTGGACGTGCTCGATGAGTCGGTCTGTTTCGGCATTACCGCTATGGGACCTATAGAGGCACCAGGTAGACGCACGGATGGTCGTCACTGTCTACGGGTAGCCAAAGGATGGCAAGGTCCGAACCTTCAAGACTGCCGAGGCGTCGAGAACAGATGTCCTCTCTGCGCAAACTCCAGCCCGAGGCACAAAGGAGTGCTCCAATTTGTACCCCGGACAGGAGAGATACGAAGTATCAGCCGGAGAGGACACCTGAGTCTCGGTTAAAAAGAGCAAGGCCAGCTTCGCCGTCTCTAGATGGTAATGGACAGCGTTAAGGTTGGAATGAAGTCCCCTGATGTTGCAAATATTCACGGATAGCGTGACAGGGGTCGCCTTGATCTTATTGCTCTGCTTGCCCCGAGCAGTATTAGTCGCGAGCGGAATTAAAATTACTTACCTTTGCAGTTTCCATTTGGTAATTCAAAAGTTTCAATTTCAAATTCACAACATCCTTACTGTCTGATGGACTCCAAGAGCCAAAGTGACTCATAGGTTCTGAAATTAATATAATTAATGTTTATTAGTAGCTAATTATTGTAAAACATCACTCGGTTTATTTATTTCAAATCTGGTATATAGTAAAATTTTTTGTGTGATATGTAACATTAAATGAGACGTTTTATGCTGTATGCATGTGAACTGTATTATGGTTGTAGCACAAATGGTTCGGCTCGACCGGGGTAGGACCACGCTTTTATATGAGGGTGGAATAGCAGCTTCATGCTGCTGTGTTTAGTATGGCGAGTGTAAAGAACTGGAGAACCTTTTTACTGGAAATGAGGCATCCCATCTTAGTCTTCAGGGGTGCCAACGGACTTGCATTAAATTATTATCGAGGATAAATGTAGATGTCTATGGGCCTCAGCATCCACTTGCCATCGAGTGGAATGTGTGCTCGTTTGTCACCCATATGTATAAAAAAGAAAGAAAAAAACATACACATCTGTGTTTTATTTAAGTTAAAAGAATTCCAAACATTGACAAAGATCAATTATGATATTGCATTGAAATTTAACACTACTACAAATTAAACGGAATTGAACAAATATGTTTAATTTGTAAATTGTATAGTTTGTTTAATACAAACTGTATAATAATCGTTGTAAAAATAATTGATTGTAAAAAAATAAACTATTTTTGAAGTTATACTTCTCTTGAAGTTGAAGTGAATTTTTACAGCTAAAAACGACACCATGAAATTGTTACGATGCGCCCGCACACTGACACCTATAGTCTTTGCTTTGTAGCATGGTGCGTATGACAGCTCACGCCTATGAAATTTCCATAGACTTTGTATCTTATAGACTAAACATTCCGTGACGTCATCAGCGTGTGAAAGGAATGCACGTATATAGTTAGACATAAGAGTAAGGGAGAAGCAAATCTATATTTCTTGTCTTTTTCTAGGTATGCGTTTTTTATTGTTTTCCCTCCTTTATTTGACATTAACGATGTCAAGCTCTTGTGAATAATATTGATATTATAAGCAAATAGGTAATTGAATTTAGTGTTGTTTGTGGGTTTTAGTTATTAGGTAAGTTTAAAAAGATGGTAAGTTGTAGCATTTTAGGATGCAACAGCATCAGTCAACGAAAAATTGATAATTTTACCTTTCATCGGTAAGTTTGTTTTGTGCTTACATTTGCTACTTGTACTGATTAATATCTATTGTTTTGAATATAAAGTGTAACATTTCATGTGTTTAATGAACTTTGTGATGTATTTTGTCAAATATTTGGACTCCCAAATTGTAAATTCTTCATGATAATGCTCCTTAATTTGAACGGTCATTCGAAAGCTTAAAGTCATAACAAACGTGTACTTTTTGATTTGGTAGGATTATAAAAACTTTAGGGATATCAGCGAGTACAATAATGTTTTCGCATTGTTGAATAATAATTGTTATTGTGATTAGTAGTTATGTCCATAAATATGAATCACATAATGTTATACATATACATACACTTTTATGTTCAGCTTTAAAGGAAACTCTCCTTATTGCCCTACAACTCTTCAATCATTTTCTATATTACATAGATGTCACAAATAATATGTAAATATCAAACCTGAAAACATGTTTGGGTTCAAGTAGATAAACATTGGGCAAAGTATATTTAATTTTACAAAATATGTATTGCCTGAAATCAGATGCACAAAACTTTAATGCATTCCATTAATTCTATTATACATTAGCAACAATTACATTACAATATTTATGAAAAAAATAAATAAAGATGTCATACTTATATAAAAATAAATGTAAATATAGATAAAATAATAAATAAATAAATAAGTCTTAATCTTAAGATACATAATAACACAACAATATAAGATAATATTCTCAATTAATGATGTAGAAAAAAATTGATGATAATATACTTACCGTTACCATTAGTCATTATCAAAAGTTATAGGTTTTATGATAGTTGCTTAGCTTGGCAGGAGGATTGGCAACTGCAGTTATTTTGCAGACAAACTATGTGGGAGGTCTATGTTTAGCTGAGCAGGACATTTGTTAGTCTGTAAATGTGTTAATTAACAATATCTAAAGCTTAATATGTATATGATTTTTTTAAATGTTTGGTATGAATAATGTTATCATTACATTTACATATACCTGCTACTTAGTTAAATCAATTAATATTGTATTAATTGTTATAGGTTTTGTATCTATGCACAGATACTCATACTTGATTTTTTTAATTAATTACCTTGATATAAAAGTGTACTATGTATTTAATATATTGATTTATTTTAAATATATTATTTCACAGCTTTTCTAAGGAATCAGCTATCCGTAACTGTTGGATAATTGCTACTGGTAGTAATTATAGATAACCAACAAAACTTATCAGTATATGCTCAAAACATTATGAGCCTCATTGTTTTAGGTGGACTAAATATACTTAACTTATGTAATTTATAATATAATTAAGATATTTTTTTAAATGTTATAATTTCTTGTTGTATCTGGTTGTTTCTCCATAAGTGATATAAGTTTGACCTTGTTAGTTGTTATGATTTTTGACATTGTTCTGTATGTATTAAAAATTGACTAGCATTGCTTATTTTATTTTCAAATGCTGACATTCTGTATTATTAAGAGTTGTAATAATTTGGTTGAATGACAAAGACAAAATATTTACTTATAGATGGATTGATTAAACATGAGTCCTCATCTACAAATGTTGGAACTTTATCTATATTTGCATAAAACATGGTAGATGTTTTATGCAAAGAAAGATTTAAATAAAAGAAATAAATAAATAATTTAAAATCCTGACCTAAATATACAAATGAATAATTTATTATGCAATAATAATTGTAAAACTGACTGGGAATGCCTACCAATGGGACATTTAGTCCACCCTTAATCCCTTTTATAAAGGTGTTGTAAACAATAATGTGTAAATAAATTAAGAAATAAATGTAATAATTATGATAATTTCTATTTAATTGTCATAAATAATGTAATAAAGATCTTTTTCACAAGAGATAAGTATTACCTGTCTAAGTATAATTTAGGAGTTGTACCTTATTAATTATACCATTAAAATGTATTATATACAAGGCATAATATATACATATATATATATATATATATATATATATATATATATACCCTTCTAATCCGATTCTAACAACCAGCACCCAATAATTTCTGCCATGCAAAGAATAAATCAAGTTTACAAATGCATATTTTTGAGAAATTCTAAAGCTACTCAAACCAAGAATTACAACGAATGCTCTAGAAAGAAGACAAAAATTTTGTTAAATTTGTTTATTAATGTGATGAAAAATTAATAAATAATCGTATGTTTATTTTAATGTTATTGAATTATATTTAATATATGATTGTGTTTTCAATTGTTTTAATTAATATAACATTGTTAATATTTCTAAATGTTGTGTAAGTACACAAAATTTAGTTCTTTTTCCTTTTTATATTTCTATATATATTCATTTGAATAGAATATATATCTTTACAGTCTATCAAAAGTCTACTGTTGAACATAAACATGATTATAGTTATTTGACATGGTTTCAACGCTTGGAAAGCGGGTTGTCAACCACTGTTTTTTTTTATTTAGCTGTTATCAGGAAGATGCTGCTGTTTATCTTCTTTGATATTTCCCTATGTCGCCTCTTACACCACCCATGGAATGATATGAGGTAGCAGATAATCTTACACTGCATGGTAAATTAAAATAGAATATTATAAAACATTCGTTTTTATTTTATATACCAACATATTACAAAAACAAACCCTTTGTTGATGCTTTCAACGTATATTAACTAAAACATTTTACCACCTTAACCATTAGGTAACATGATTAAGCCACCTAACCATAAGTAAGTCACCTAAAAAAGGCCTTCCCTAGATATCCTCATAGGATGACTTTTACCATAGTTGCCACGCCTGCGTGAAAATATGCGTTATGCTGGTTGGCCACCGCAGTTATTTATTATTTCAAGTTTTCATCGGGAAAGTGCTGCTGCCCCATCCCCATCTTGTATTATTGCTTACGACGCGGGGTAATATCATTCCGTGTACAGACAAATTATCTTGTACGCCACAACTTGCCGCACACAAGACACTAACTTAGCAAAACATGCAGGAAATCGCGGGAGTAGCCTCTTTACCGTGTTTTGTACTACAAAACCTAAGTGGAAAGCCTTTCTTTTCGGTGGTCTGTGCTCAGCACTGAACTTGTGATGGAATGGTATGTTAAAACATTATTGATTTTTTTTTTGTAAAAACAAAACTCGACACGAGGAAATTTTTGTTTATTATTAAATATTTTTATTCTTAATTAATATTTAAGTACATACATAACATATTGTTATTTATTAGCAATATCACACTTTGTGATAGTAGCGTCTTCACTTAGTGCCGTCGAAATCCAAAGAGTTTATTGAATGTCCAGTAAAATCGTCGTTTCGCCGTTGAATACAGAATGATGATTCTGTTTTTACGCCGTTTCCGCCTGTAGTTTTTAGTCACAGAATGTATTTTCAAGAGAAATGAATTAATCATCTGAATTATAAAAGAACATTTTTTTATGGTAACAGTTAAGTTTTTTGTATGAATGTAAGTGCTGTGAATATAAATAAACCCATAACGGGGGAAATGGAACAATATCTGGTAACCCAGTGAAAGTACCTCCCGCCTATTTCTATCTCAAAAGCATACGCGAATGCTTTATCTAGTCAATCCTCAATCTACGGAAATTTCATATTTTTTTAGATAAACTGTCATACTGATATTGTCATACTTCATGGATGCGTACCGCCCACTTACGATAGTGATGTGCTACGTTAAACTATGTCATGCCATAACGAACAACCACAGACTATCAAAAATCGGTTTTGAAATAAATCGAAAATATATAAAAATCACGTAAATATGTATTGGAATTGGAACTAATCGTGCAACAAATTCTAATTTACTAAAAAAAAACACGAATATGCAGTGTTTCCGATGCATGGACGATAAATTATTCGTTGGTCAGCTCAGGCAAAAAAAATAATTATAAAACAAATTGCGCATTGTGTCAAAAAGACTTTATCATAACTCATGGCGGTCAAAATGGCTACAAAAAACCGCGAAGCGCCATTCCAACGTTTTGTTGCATAAAATCATATCTAACAATCATACTGTATATATAAATGATATAAAAACACATTGTTAGAAAGTAAAATGATTGTTTAACTTATAATTTTTTTTTTAAATTGATTAATTGCTATTTTTACATAAAAAAGTGGTTTTAGTGGCTTATGATGTGGATTTATCAAGTACGCATGGAGGGATAAACATGATAACTTTTGAAAATATAAATTTTTCAACTCAATCTATTTTTAATCTCTTCATCTATGTGGCAAGCCATGGAATGTAAATGGCAGTTTAATTTTGTTTTCTTTAGCTATAATTAATTTTTTCGGCCGAGAAATCGCGAATATTTCGGTGGTTTGAGCAGCCTTGTAATAATTTATTTTACTAAATAGACTGCCTCACTCACTCACTTCGGGCTCAGCCGCCATCGTGAATGGATACTGTGTCAGTTGTTTGCAGCGACTCGTGCTCAAAAAGATCATTTTTGTACAAATACAAAATATTCGAAAAACCAAATTTGATACGTACTTAATTATTATTATTATCACAGATTTTTATTACAATATTTTAAAAGCACAGAATAAATAATAGTAATACGTACTAAAAGTAAGAAGGATTTATATATAAATATACTTAAATAGGTCTTGGACTTTATGGAGTGACCTGAATGATGATATGATGATCATATGAGCATTAAATTCTCGGAAAGTTGAAAGTATAATACCTAACAAGGTTATTAGTGAAAACTTGTGTGTATTTAAATAAGTGAAATAGAAATTCCGGAAGAAGTGGAGAGAGGTAGGGAGATAAGTGTAGATGAAATAATGAAAGCAATGAAAAGCATGAAAGCAGGTAAGGCAGCTGGATATGATAGAGTATCACTCGAAATGCTAAGGGCTGGTGAAGGTGTGGTTGCAGGCCTGCTGTACACCTTATTTAATTTGTGTTGGGAACTGAAGCGGGTACCGGAAGACTGGTGCAAAGCCGTAATAGTCCCAATATATAAGGGAAAGGGGTCGCAGCAGGACTGTAAAAACTACCGTGGTATCAGCTTGCTTAGCATTGTGGGTAAACTGTATGCTAAGGTGTTAATTGAAAGAGTTATGGAAGAAACTGATGGAAAAATTTGGGATGTGCAAGCTGGATTTAGAAAGGGGATGGGGTGTCCGGATCAAGTCTTTTCCATGCGCATGATAGCGGAGAAGTTTTTGGCCAAAAACCAGAAAGTTTTTTGTGCGTTCATGGACTTGGAAAAGGCTTATGACAGAGTGGACAGGAATGTGTTATGGCAAACACTGAACTCATTTGGGTTGAGCGCTGGCTTGATACAGGCATTAAAGTCTCTTTATAGGGACTCTAGTGCTTGTGTCAGGATCAACGGGGTCTACTCGGACTGGTTTGGCATTCATAAAGGTGTCAGACAGGGATGTGTGGGTTCCCCGTGGCTGTTTAACCTATTTATGGACAGTTGTTTGCAAACTTTGAAAGTTGAAGAATGTGGGTTGAGAATGGGTGAGTCAACCGTCAAATGCCTTTTGTACGCCGATGATCAAGTCATATTTGCATCGTCGGCGGCCGAGTTACAAATGATGGTACTTTAATGAATTGGTCATTGAAAGAAAGGGGTATGAAAGTGAACGCAAGTAAGACGAAAGTGATGGTTTTTGAAAGAGAAGAAAGTAAAACTTTATGTGAAATAAGAATAGAAGGGGAGTTGATTGAGCAAGTGGATGAGTTTGTATATTTGGGATGTTTATTTAGCAGGGATGGTAGATATGACAAGGATATAGAACGACGAGTGAACGCAGGAAATAGAGTGAATGGGGCTCTACACGCTATTATGAGGAGTTAGAATGTGTCAACTAGGGCACGTATGGCAATTTATAATGCTGTGGTAGTCCCTACTTTAATGTATGGTAGTGAAAGTTGGGTCTGGCAGAAGAAGCATGAGAGTAGAATAAATGCTGTAGAAATGCGTTCCTTAAGGAGTATGCTAGGGTTGAATTTGAATGACAGGGTGAGAAATAGTGTGATAAGACAAAAGTGTAGTTTGCAAGATGACGTTGTGACAAGGATTAAGAAAGGAATGCTTCGGTGGTTTGGTCATGTAGAAAGAATGAACGAGGAAAGAGTGACAAAGCAAATTTATGTTGCAGAAGTGAACGGCAGGGTCGGGAAGGAACGCCCTAGACGAAGGTTTATCGACCAAATCGGCGATACATTAAAAATGGGCCAGATTAGGAGTACCCTTAACCGACGAGCGTGTATGCGTAGATATATGGATGTAAAAGAGGCGAGAGAGGTGTGTTAGCATTGCGCCAAATGGAAGTCCGTAGTCTCTGCCTACCCCTCTGGGTGACAGGCGTGAGTGTTTATGTATGTATGTATGTATTTAAAAAATGTAAACGCTTAAGGCATGCGCAATTGGATTTACCAATAGTTTTATTTTTACCTTCCATTCCGATATTTGGCCCATTGGACCTGGCAACACTAATTTGTGTATTAGTGTTGCCAGGTCCAATGGGCCAAATATAACGAAAGGAGCTAGCACTCGTACCTTGAAAAGCTGCCGGTGCAGTCGACGCCGTACAGAAAATTACAGATGCTTGCAGCGATTTTATTTGTTTAATATGTCAATATGAATGTTGCAATCAACATGAAATAGAAGATGATTTTTATTTTCAAATTAATACATAGTATAATCTATATATTGAAGTGTGTTTGTAATATCAAACAGACTTTTACTAAATAAATATGAAAGTATATACGGTATTTATAACAAAGAGACGAAAACAATTTTTAAAAAGGTTGTCTGTCTGTCCGTTTGTTCCGGCTTATAGCTGGCACTGGCAGATGTTATATGGAGTAAGACAAGTTTTACAAAGAATTAGGATTTCACGCAAACAAAAATAATTAAAACATATGTATCAGATCTTAATAAATAACAAGCGGGCGTGGTCTGGGAACAGCTCTTATGTAACTATTATGTCATAATTTGTATTAAACTTAACCTTAATTTTACATGCATTGTAGTTTTTAAAGAATATATATTTCGGTTTTAATTTTCATATCGATGGGTAATCGATAAAGTTTGCTTTGCTTTGTGTATCGTTAATTGCCTTTTTTAATTGATTTAAAATTGTTCCATCTCTAGACACGCCAAACTCTAAGCTGTCACCCGCACCATGTTATAACACAAATACTATAAAAGCGACAACTTTAGTGGGTAATTGTCTTTAAGTTTTTTTTTAATGTTTTGTTATGCTAAAGAAGTATAACATCCGACGTGCATACATAAATACATACACGCACACACTTTTTTATTTTGTATTTATATCCATAATTCTTTTTAAATATTATTTTTCTAAAACATTGAAATACCTACCTATGTATGGTTGTATTGACATGGACTTATTCATCATGGACTTATTCATCTATTAATAGATCCATATTTTGCAAAAAAAATTCTACTCAATTCTCAATTCAATAGCATGCTTCTTATTCTTACCAATCCCACTGTCTCCATTAAGTACAGTGTCAAGAGGGTCTAAGTTATTTTGTTTGTTACATTCATTGTTGTCATCAGAATCTTCCTCTTCATCATTTCTCGTAACATCTATATCGGTCTTATACTCCAAAATTGGTTCTGATTTAATTTTCTGAAACATTTGACATACTCAATTTAAAACTCCATTAATGTCACAGCCCATTGAAAACCCACTGCTAAACATAGGCCTCCCCTAAAGATTACCTCATAGGGGGATATTTGCCACAGTTGCCACGCTTAGCAAGCTTGTTGGCAATGGCAGTTTTTCATTATATAGTTGTTATTGAGAAGACGCTGTTGACCATCTCCTACTACAGTTTCTCTCTGTCACCTCTTATGACACCCAAGGGACGATATGGGGTAGTGGATATTCTTACAATGCCACTACATGGTTGGTTATTTCAATTCAATAATGAGTCATCCAACTGGATTAAAAGAAGTAAAATTAAAAAATTTGTACAACCAATATCAATATAAATTATTAAGGATAACTCGAAAACTACTGGTCAGACCTTGATGAATATATGGGACCACATTGGCAGCACCAAATTTCAAATAAAAAAAGAATCATCTAAATAGGTTCACATAGAAAAAAGTTGAGGTAACACATAATATCAAAAAAGAAAAAAATAGTCAAATTCAGTACCTCCTCCTTTTTGAAGTCGGTTAAAATTGACATTGACATACCTTATTTACATCTTCTAGCCTTTCATGACAACTGCTTTGAAGATATTGCTTTAAACGGATAGTTTTTGCCATTCTTTTCATGTTATTAAACTTGGTATGTAGGACTTTTGTTGATCTTTTTTGTGGACTTCGTTTGTTGAAAGAATCTGTTATCTACATAAAAATAAAACATCATAAATATACAGTTCGTTGCCAAATATATAAAGCTTTTATTTTTATTCACAATTAAAGGCTAAATTACTTCTAATGGTTGTTTGGATTCAAAACAAATAACAATGTAGCATACCCTTGTCCATGCACTATTTTTCATTTGGATTGCTTTGCCTGTGCTTTCCTTGCAGAATATATTTTTCTTTTCTTCTCTTACACATTGCAAAAGAAGACTACACTCTTGGGGTGAGAAATTCAATGATCTATTAGACCTAAAATATTCATGGCATCTTCAAAATTGTATGCATTTATACATTATCTAAAGGAAAACAACATCTGACTTTTTATTTTTATTTTGTTTTATATATTATATCTGTATGACCGCCTCGTTATTCTAGTGGTTGTAGTGGGTTTGAACCTGGGTTGAAAGAAGAACCACTTATTTAGTTTTTTGTTAAGAAATTCTCAGTAGCAGCCTTGAGTTAGGAATCTGGAGGTGTTTCACCCAAGTGCCATGGACAGAACTTAGAGCGTCGGTCCTGTGACTGATCTTTCTCCCGTAATATTGGGTAACTGTCCCATCAGATGAGATATGAGAGTAAGGGAATAGAGTGCACTTGTGCTTGTGCATACACTCCGGCATATAATTCTATGACCGAATCTCTGCATTATATGGGTTGCATATACTTCTTAAATCTACATAATATGTTTTAGTTATTTTTAAGTTTTTAACACCTGTCAACTTTTATTTCTATATTTCTCCAGGGCTTAACTCCCCCTATCCACCTCAGTTAACCCATTGCAAGCCTTGGTTTAAGATATCTTACTAAGTAAAAAAATAAGTTAAAAAAATTAAAATAAAAAATACTTAACAATGAATTTGAAAATGTTTTACAATTTATAATGATTTGTTACTTGAAATAAAAACTATGCAATAACGTTTGAATTTTAGCTTTGATTATTTAACTTAAAACATATTCCCTCCTAGAATGTTTACAAGTTTTTCTACATATTTACAACCAGCCGTTTCCTACAACTACGCCCATGTGTTTTTTTCGCAGAACCCTAAAATAAAAGTAGCCTAAGTTACTCCTTATAATATCAGCTATCTACCAGTGAAAGTTGCATCCAAATCAGTTAACAGGATTTTGTGTGATGTGTTTTCAGACAGATGTCGTGTTAGTTTTATTATAGTAAAAATAATAAATAATAGATGTTAATTGAGCAAAATAAGTGCTACCTTCCAGTATCCATATCTCCATCTGTAATGTATTGAAAGTTAATTATGAAAATGTACAAAATAAAAATTATGTTCATAAATTATAATATTAATGATTAATTACCTGAATTGTCAGACTCTTTTTCTTCTGAGTCCTCCCAATAAGTATTAGATGTATTTGTTTTATCTTTTTGATCCGTATCTGTAATAATTGGTTTTTGTAAAACTATTTACTACAAAATATTATATGACCAGGTCACAATTGTATATAGTATTTAATTTATTAATTCTAGTGTTGTTGCAATTCATTGAACTATTTTCATAAATTGTTATTTAACATAATAGCACACCACAGATATTAAACAGTAATATTTGAAAGAAATTACCATTTAAGTCATCGTCTAATATAGGTGGAATTTCCAATGCATTACCACTCTTTTCTGCTTCACACATCATAGACAGTATTTGACTAGTTAAATCATTAAATTCACTGTATTTAATATCCATTAAATTTTTTGATAATTTTCTTGCATCTTTTTTTAAATTCTCCCATTTTGTTTTTAAGCTATCAGCACTTCTTGAATATTTAAATCCTTGGTTATTGAACATTTTAGCTATTTTATTCCAAGTCACTTCTTTAGCATGACTGGCAGCAGCACTTGTAGATTTATTTAAAATAATGCTCTTATATTTTTCAATTATATTTACCAACGCTTTTATTTCTTCCTTACTGAAAGTAGGGCTCCTATGCCTATCGAAAAAAAAATTAATATGTAGAATAGGATCTAACAAAATAAATTATTAAAATGCACTTACGAGACTGATGATTTATCTTTTTTGTGCTCATCGTCCATAATAACTTATTTTTGAACTAAACTGAATAAGTGGGTAAAATTATATATATTTTTTTATTTCTATTGCTTATCTTTAATTTCTATTAATCTTTTTTACATAGCATGGGAAAGGGTGCTTTACGAATACGGTAAAACCTTGGATAAAATAATCTGAGGATAAAACGTATGTACTTTCTTTGTATAAATTTAAATATTTTCTTTAGAGATTTTGAGTTAAAACCCTGTTGAGTGTTGACTGTTTACCACAGAAGCAGAACACAATTACTTCTTAATAACTGGCTTTACGGCTCTGGGATCTAGCCCTTCTAAGCCTGAAGTTACAATATATTATAATAATTATCCTTCATAGTATACTGCTTCACAATATGTTGATGCGTCACAATGTGCAGCCCTTGGGAGATTTTGACGGCAACTTGAGCCAGCAGACAGCTGATGGTTGGCGATGGTATCTCAAGGCGCCTAAGCAGACAGACACCTTATATTGAGAATCATATCACCATCAGAGCACTTGTTTCACAGTTTCCACTAATAGTTCACATGCGCAGACACTTAATACACAAAATCGCACCACTTTTACATATCAAAGTCCACTTCAAACCATTATTTAAACAATAATACAAGAGCAACCATAGCCACGCGTAACCATAGCAACGTGGCGGCGCTAGACCTCACTCAGTCGCACTGGAGGTGGGAAAAGTGTATCATTTTTGCGATTGGAACATTTGCATCTTGATCACTGAAATGTTCCGAAACACTGATATGTTTCATTTGGATCATCGATTCAAAAGATATAAAAGAAAGAATGTTCCGAATACATTAAGTTACGTCGCGGGCGTTTATTACTGACTGATCCGTGAAATGTTATGTGGCAACAATGCTGAATAATATAAGTGCTTAGATTATTTATTGTGTACCGTAATAAGATTGTATATAAAATCGATTCTCCTTCATACTTTAACAAAAATGTCACTATGTCAATTCACTATTTACAAAAATGTCCATTTACACAAAACAGCAATGTTTATGTACACAGAATTTACTCGTAAAGTATCATAACTCTAAACTTTATGATGAAAAGGAAGAAAGTAAAGTCACAATAATCACTACGCAAAGTAATCCTAAACATAACTCAGTATGTTTTCGGAAACAGGCGCTAATGAATATAAATAATTTGACAAGTGCCGCATCAACGTAAAATGACTACTTGTTAATGCAAACATTACATACAAAAAACATCCGTATAGTATTTGACACATATGCGCCTTAGTGGTAATTTTTACGTGCATGAATAACGTCAGCGAAAATCCGTACGAGTTGAGTGATACACTTCTCATTTGTTATCTCTATCTGACTTGTGTGGATTATAATTATTTCGCCCGCTCACTCGCCACTCGTGAGTCAATAGTTAAGTTAATCATTGTCTCAGTCTGTCTCTCTCGCTCGTGGCTCAGTCGCCTCGCATGAAACGCGTCGCGCGAAATGAGCAAATAGCAAAGTAATGTTTCACTGTTCCAGATCCAAATGATACATTTGAAACGTTGTTACTGAACCAATCTTTTGTGTCACTTCAGTGATTCGTATCAGTGAGTCGTTTCCGTAAAGAGATACACACGCCTAAGTCGCACTCTGTTCCTCGCTACCCGCGCACTCACAGCGCGGCCCTGGAGTACAATCGCGTACGAAGTTTTCAAGTCTTTGACATTTATAATTCTGTCGATTACGTAATCATTTAATTTAATTTCAAAAAAATGACTCGACCACAACCAACTTTAAGGAGACAGGGGAGAAGAATGATTTTTGATGTTTATAATTATTTTTTAAAAGAAAATAATATAACTGATTCTCTGAATAAAACTGCGGAATCTACGAAAAAGTCTGTATCCACAGTTAAAAGGATTGTTAAAGAAAGTAAAAGTTCAGAGTTTATAGTTACTTTTAGGACCCCTGGTAAAAAGGGGCAACGAATAAAGCCAGTCACAGGCATAGACAATTTTGACAAGGGGGTAATAAAAGGATGTATTCACAATTTTCATTTTACTGAAAATGAATTACCGACCCTTAGTAAATTTCTTGCAAAATTACGTACGTATATAAAATTTGAAGGTTCTGAAAAAAGTCTTCGTCGCATTATTAAGGAACTTGGATTTAAATGGAAAGCCACTGAGAATAATAGGAAAGTTTTAATAGAAACATCAGCCATCACATTGTTAAGAATAAATTACTTAGAAAAATTAAGACAGTACCGACAACAAAACAGACCAATTGTATACACAGATGAGTCATATGTTAACGCTACTCACACCACAACGAAAGGTTGGACAGATGGGTCAAGTAAAGGAATAAAAAAACCCTTATCAAAAGGGCAACGTGTTGTGATAGTACATGCCGGATCGGAGACTGGTTTTGTGCCTAACGCTTTGTTACCGTTCAAGTCAGGTATGAAGTCCGGGGACTATCACGAAGATATGAATTTTGAGGATTGTGAGAAGTGGATTCGAACTCAATTGATACCGAATCTTCTCCAACATTCAATTATAGTTGCAGACAATGCATCATACTATAATAAGGAATATGACTTAGCACCAAACGCGAATTTAAGGAAAGCTGATATGCAGGCTTGGCTTTCAGAAAAAAGAATAACATTTACGTCTGAAATGTTGATGTCTCAATTATACCAATTAATAAAAAATAACAAAGATCGCTTCAAAACATTTAGTATAGACAAGATTTTTAAAGAACATGGTCATGACGTACTTCGCCTGCCTCCCTACTACCCAGATCTGAACCCTATAGAAATGGCATGGGCAGCAATAAAGTAAGTAAGTAGCAAAAGTGTACGATGGAATGTGCCCCGTGTTATAGAGTTAGTGGACGAAAAGGTAAATACAATGGGACCATGTGATTGGAAAAAGCTATGCGACAAAGTTAAGACAATCTAAGAAGCTTATGTCAAAAGCGACCATATCATCGATAAAATGACGGAAGAATTTATAATACGGGTTGGAGATTCTGACAGCAGTGATTCTGAATTGGATTCCTCAACTGACATAGAAGATGAAATCGCAACTCCTGGCCCAAGTTCTGGTAAACCACTAGGAAATTATATAGAAGGTGCCATGCCAATGTGTGAAAGTGATTGAACATGTAGATAAACAGATTAACTTTTTGGTGTATTAAATTTTTATTTGTATTCCTTTATTTGTTCTATTTAATAATACCTAACAATAAGAAATACAATTATTTGAAAGAAAATCGAAATTATTTTTATGAAACTTCATTTTTTGTTTAATTAAATTACTTCACTTCATTTTCACACTTATTAAAAAATATATTTAAATACGACGAATTTACGGTTTTTCCTTTAAGATTTTTGAATTTTTCAGGCAACCGTGGAGCATGTCTCTAACATTTTTGTCCATAATTGTACCTGCGCAAACGACCGCCATTTTAGTTCAACTTACGTGCCGCGATGTATACCCAGAGTACCTTTATATTATATACTATACTGAAATCTCTACCAATCTAGATCAAGTACCATTAAGCATCAAGTATGGTGCGCGCAAGATAACTCTGCGCGCGGCCAAAATTAGAACTAATCGTGTGCCGTCATTTTACTGTTTATGGCAGGTGTCAAAACAGAGTGTTAGGTGTCGTGTTTTATTCGTTTTCGATGTAAATAATCGTCATCATTATGCCAAAAGTGATAAAAATTACTGACAGGGATATTATCTTGAAGGTCAAACGTGCTTGTGAAGGAGAACGAGACAATAACGGGCCTACATTACCGTTTTCCAAAGTTTTCCCACATTTCATATTTCGCAGGTAATTTTTAGGGCTGCCATAACAAATAAAACTCCCTAATTTTCTCGATTTGTTCGTTTTTAGTTTTCTCGTGTCATTAATATCATGTTTTATAATGCATTGTTTTTATTATGTTTTAGGTGTTTCTGAACGCATCGTCACCCGAATAACTCAAGAGGGTGCACAGTGTAGCAGCAGCTTCATCTTCTAAAATTGTGACGTCGCGAAAAACTAGGAACTGGAGGAAAAAAATTATGGTTTTAGACGATTTTCAAATGTGGCGTTAGAAGGCATTTAAATCAATCGTTTAACGTCGTGAAGAAAGAGATTCTGCCTTAAATAAACTTTGGTTGAAATTGAAAGCTGATATTGATTTTAAATATGGCAGAATCTCTTTCTTCACGACGTCAAACGATTGATTTAAATGCCTTGTAGCGTGCTTAAAGACTATGGCCTACAAATACAAAACGTACCAGTTAAAACGAAAAGTATTGATAGAACGAAGTGATATTGCAGCTTGGAGAGCAAAATATATTCTTCTCAGAATATATTTAATATATTCTGAGAGGAATATATTTTCTGTCCTATTATCTAATATGTATTATCTAAGAATCATCAGGAATTTGTGCCAAACCTACCAACAAATTGCATTGTAGTGATGGATAATGCGTCATACCACACATATAAACACGGAGCCTACAATTGGCAATACAAAAGCAGAGTTCCACGTGTGGATTACGAGAAATGGATGATTGTTGGACAAAAGCGCAATTATACGAATTTATCAAAAAACACAGGAGACCCACAGTATGAAAAAAAACAAATATTACATGAACATGGACATGAGGTTCTCCGTTTGTCGCCCTACCTACCGCGATTTAATCCCATCGAAAAAAATTGGCCAATAGTAAAAAGCCGCATTGCAGAGAAATATCACTCAAGCTCCTAGCGAAATAGCCGCTATTACTGAGGTGGCTTTCAGAACAGTAACGACAGAAGAATGGCTCAATGTATATGTCTACATGTAGAAAAAATAGGAGATAAATATTTTGAATAAAATAGGCTGATTAATATAATATGGAAATGGATAAATTTATAATTAATGTCACAGGTGACACACCCGAGTCTTCTGATGAAGACTAGCATGGATTCTGATGAAGATGTGCGAATGGAACCTGTTGACCCACTGCATGACCATTGTTACATCAAATTTACAAATAGATCTAGGTATTCAATAAAAGATTTACAAGGTTTCTATGGACTTTTAATTTTGTTTTTTATAATAAATATTTTTAAAATACCTTTTTTGAAAAATTCATTATAGACAAAATATCAGTGTTCATTCATTATAATAATAGTCATTTCTAACATGCATACAATATATTCGCCTATAAATATGTAAAAAAAATTTGAAAGTTAAATTTGACCAACTTTTAGGTTTTCGATGGAGCGGAAATTTTGCATATATACGTTAAGTTTAGATGAAAATAAGTAACGTCACTCTAAATCCAATATGACGGACTCCCAAAGATGGAGAACTAGTTATATTTTTGTGCATTCCCATGATATGGGTATCAAATAAAAGGGTTTGCCGAGAAGAATACCAAAAATAAAAGTGAAGCGTGTTTATTAGTTTTTTTTCTTAAACTCGCTCGTATAAATTAGACGTTTGCAAATGTTTTTTTTTGTGCCTTGGTAAGCAATTCGGTCATTTATGTAATTTAATATAATTATATAATTCTACTTGTTCGCGCAAAACTCTGTTGTCGGAATCGACACCAGATGTCACTCGGCTCGGCGCGATTCCGGTCTGAAGTTCTTCCGATCCTGGCAGTGGCGCGCGGGTCGCAAGCGGATCAGTCATCTGCCAGATGTGCTAATGTTTGCACGCTGTTAATTTTGTGCGGGAACCGCGGAATAGTTAGGGCGTCTAGTAAATATCCTGTCTAGGAATTATAACGCGCATTCCCTGTTTGGATAGCCTTTCCCGGGACTTATTGGGTCCGACTTAGAATCTGTATAAGTGCATTCGACAATATAAGCTAGTGCGGCCTCGGTATTTAGAACTGTTGCCACGCGAAACGGTAGTGACCTTTGACCTAGAAACTCCGGGCGTGTTTTGTGCGGTAACCTTATACCCCGCGATAGTTAGTGGCTTCTGTAAGCTAGTTAATCGTACGATAGAGTTAAGTGACTGGCATCGTGGTGAACCAAGAAAGTGACTGTGGATAACCTCGAAAGGCCCCCTCAAGTTGAAGCGGTGTCGACGCTCGGGCTGTTGCCGACGGCTAAGGTCTAGGTTCAATCACCATCAGTCACACCCAGATACACACCACATCACCATTCTTTCCCTTGCACTACACAACCACATGCGACCTGACCGACTCCGGAGGAACCAGTCGCCTTGGATAGAGGTAAGTGAACCCCGCCAAATTCCTTCCGGTCGACTGGCCGTAGTATAACGCTCCCCCATATATTTAGTGTAATTAGAGAACTTCCACGTGGCCTTAGGAGGCCCGACCTACGTTTGCTCGGGAAGTCTTCTGCTGATGGGCCCCGGGGGATTGGATCCTTTAAGGGAGCAACCGTAGGCCGTAACAAACTGGTAGCAGAGCGTGGTTCCGGGTTCGATTCCCGGTCGATCCCGACTATAGTGTTTGATAAACATTAAACAATTTGGTAGCAGAGCGTGGTTCCGGGTTCGATTCCCGGTCGATCCCGACTATAGTGTTTGATAAACATTAAACAATTTTGGTGGCAGGGAGCGTCGGTGTGATTGGTTTAATTTGCATCTACAATCACGCCCGTCCGTAATACGTAAAAATATTTTTTTTGTACGTAATAATAGAATTATTTTCCTTTGTTGCTTTGTTGCTTGCCTTTTTTTTGGTTAGAGGGTAATTTGAAAAGCCGCGCCCTAGGTTGTGCAAGCGGGAGATTTTCTAGAGATATACGTCATGTAGGTAGATGGTTATTTTTACGTAATCGGTTAATTATCGTTGTCGGAGAGTTGTAGTGGATTACTTATCGAAGGTTCGATTTCCGAGCTAGGCATTTTTTGTTGATCGACCGTGATGTGTATCTTCGTTTATACTGTAAGTTGTATTTGAACTAAATAGTAGTAGTTTGTATTTGCGCAATTTGAATTTAACTTGATTCGATCGCACTAGTATTTGTTATTTGTTAATTTGATTTGTGTCTTTTTTGTGCTAACTTGTATTTGGTTGATACGTAGCAAGTAGTTCGTATTTGTGTAATTTCTATTCAACGCGATTTGATAGGAACTGCATTTATTAACTGTTAATTTTTTGTTGTATTTTTTATTTGTTATCTTTGTAAACTGTGCTCAAGCCGCGTCGTAATTTGCATTTAATAGTGATGACATCGCCCAAGCTACTGATCCGTTGTTTGCGGACTGAGCTACGCTGGGCCACAAGCGCCCATGCTTTGATAGGTCGACCGGATAGGGTCCATAACTTGATGAAGCAGTTCGAGCAGGTGGATGCTCGAAGGGCCGCAGTGGAGGAGGCTTACGCTGAACTCGAGGATTCGGATGTGGAGAAGGGAGTCCTGGACTCCTGCTTCGCGGACTATGAGCAGTTCTTGTGGCTCACGGACGAGTTGATCGAGGCTGAAGGCAGGTATGCCGAGGAGGCTCGTGAAGCTCGGATGAGTGACTTGTCCGAGTCCTCTCTGAAGCGGCTTCAGCCGGAGCTGTTGGGACGACTCCCAACTCTGGACCTGCCAAAGTTCTCCGGGGTCCTTTCCGAATGGCTGACCTTCGTTGGTCTTTTCGACAGCCTAGTGGACTCCCGGAGTGACTTGACCCCGAGCCAAAAGATGGTGTACCTCCTGGCCTCACTGGAGGGGGAGGCCCTGGGCGTCGTCGGCCACTTGAGATTGTCGGACGACGCCTACCAGACTGCTCGGGACCTCCTAGCCATAAGATACGCCAACGTCCGGCGAATTGCGGACGAACAGGTTAAGCAGCTTCTAAGCCTCCCGCTGCTTAGTGACC